AATTTATACAAATATATCCATATAAATCTAACATCAATATCTCAATAATTTAAATAATAACAAGAATGTTTCATATTCATAATAGAGAAAGGTGTTCTGATACTTCAATATTTTTATGGTATAAAACTCTTTGAAAAATTCTTGTAGTTATCCAAGCAGGAAATGAAAATATTTCTCATAAAACGCTTACATTTAATTACGCAAAATAAAAACAGAAATTAAGTTATACTTATAAGAAACATACAAAATATTTTATCTAAGTTATACCTCCGTTTAGTATCTAGGTTTGTCTTATTATTACGTAAAACAATGAATAGGCTTGAAATCTATCTAATAATATTATGTATTAAAAATATAGAAAGAGGTAGTTATTTATTATGATTTAAACAAAAAAACTTATTTTTATCCCAGCTTTTTTAAGATGCAATTCTCCATATCTATAAAACTCAACATAAAGGAGATTTTTCAACATATTTGCTTAAGAGTCTACAGTACAAATTTTGTTTGGGAGCATCAAAGAATGATATGTAAGATAATACTGTAATACTGTAATCACGTTTTCGCTTCCCTCCTCTTTCTTTTCCTTCCCCTTTTCTTAAAAAATTTTTTATTTACCATGTTTTTTTATTTACCACTATCATCATGTTCCACTTCATTGTCAGCTACATCACTCTCACTTTCAGAAGAACTACTGTCGAAACCTTCGTCACGAATCACATAATTACCATCATCTAAAAATATGAACATCACAAATATATATTTTGTCTTCCTTTTAAAATACGAATAGTACAAAGATTAGGAGATAATTACCTGCAGCTTCATCAGGAACTCGTAAATTTTGTCGAGCTTGTATATCAAAATCAAGCGGATTTGCCATATCCAATAGCCTCAATAGCCATATAGGAAAACCGTTCTGCATTACGTAAATGTCATTTTCGTTCTCGAGATCATTTTCTAATACATCAATAAGCGGTTGCAAGTTTTCAATGTCATTAGCATTCATAGCTACCATGTTGTTACCTTCGTCATCTCTATTATTATTTGCTAAATCGCCATTTTCCACCTCAATCAATTCCAGGACACCAAGTCTTGGCGCTTCTTCCGCAACACTCGGCGATTCGGAATCCGGTATGTGATCCTGAGCTATACTAGATAGATCATACTCTGGTGTTATATCTTGCGCGGAAGTTGAATTTGGATAACCAGAATCCATTATCTCGGGAGACCAACTATTCGGAGGCGTCTCGAGTGGAGAAGACGATTTAGCTTCAATATTATTCACTAATCCAGAAATATTTGATATCTCTTTGCTCGTACCGACAGTCTCTTCGTTTTTCAATACTGATGTAACGTTACTTGTATCCTCATTACAAGATACAAACCTATCATTTTTTAAAATGCTAACTTCTTTGGCACATTCAGATGAAGAGTATTTACTAACATTCTTTGATTTGGAATTTAATAATTCTCTAGGTGGATTTACATCTTTTTTTCTTGCATTTGATTGTGCGTGATCACTAATCACATTTTCCAAAGGTGCTTCTGTGTCAATATCTAATTTTGTTAATGTTGATGCTAACGTACAACATGCATTTTCATTTTTATGATTAGTACTCTTATTGTCTAATGATAAAATATGCTGTGCATCTACATTTTCTATATCATTCACAATATCAGACTCATGATTGATTATGTTGTTTTCTGTAAATTTTTCATTTTTATCATATATTAATTTAGTAGAGATACAATCATCAGTATCATTAAGTTCCTTATATTCTGAAGATGCTTCTTGTTGTATACTATTGCTAGCGGAAAAATCTAGATTATATTTTTCAGTATTTTTAATATCATTGTTTGAAGTTTCGCACAGTTTAATTGTTTCTGTGGTATTATCAGATCTCTGACTATCATCTAAAAAATTAGTGATATCTGATATAATTTTCCTCTTAAATTTTAGTGTTTTGTCTAAAGTATTCATTAATTCTGTACATTCAGGATAAATTCTAGTATCAGCGGAAAATCTCTGTGTATGAGATGAACTAGGTGAACTTGTATATTTTGGTTGATTATCAAGATTATTGTAAGCATCAGATGTCACTACATCTGTCACATCGCTGTCTTCACAACTTTGATAGTCGGAAATATCTTGTTCTTGTTCGACAGGAAAAATTGGAGACAAAAAACATCCTCTATTTTCCTTTTCTTTTCTGTCTCTTTCTGGAAGATTTTTCGCAGTCGACAACATATTATTTATATATTCTCTCATATCTTTCATAATATCTATTTTAGTCGCCATTCTAGATTGATAAAAAGTATTATTTAAGAAAATTTGATTGTTGAGTAATTGGCTTTCATATGAGTTAGAATCGAATTCGTGCGAAGAGTTGGTCAGATCAGAATAGGAATAAAGAGACGCTGAGGAACGCGAAATAAACATACACGGTCGAAGATTTAACATTGAAGTAACTTCTTGTGTAGCTGAATCTATCTGATCATTTTGTAACAGATTCGATTCTAATGTAATATTGTCAATTGACTTCTTTAATTGTAAATTGTTGGGTAATGCTGAAGACATTTTAGAAGCAATTGTTTGAAATTTATCAGCCGCTTTTGGATTATCTAAAATTAAAGGGATTGAATCATCTGAAAGCTCTTTGTTAAAACTTATTAATTTTTGAATCTTTGCGTTCTCATTGCCGCAAATTGCACATGGCTTTTCCGGTGATCGTGATTCTTCCAGCAAAGAATTTTCACCATCAAATAGATAAGTATTTTCTTGATTAATAGAACAATTTTCAGGTATAATAATACTAGGTTCCTCGAGCCAATTTTCAGTGTGCGGATTTTGCATAGATAAATCTTCATCATCCATATTCGGTAGTATTCCATTTACGAACGAATTAAACAATTCATCAGATTCATTTTTAGATTTGTTTTCTTCACATATAAAGTCGTTGTTGTAATAAAAGTTTTCAGTATCTAAATTTGGTAAAGCTAATTCGTTATTTGCACTTGCAGATGTTTCATTTAAATCAGATACATAATCCCATTCATTCTTATTTATAACATTGGTTTCATCATGCCAATCTTCATTTTCATCTTCATCACATTCTTCTTCGGTCACTATATCTATGTCGTCATATCTATCGTATGTCATATCTATATCGTTAAAATATAACATTTCATCATCCGTTTCATTATCAGAAGGATGTTCGGAAGGATTAAGTACTACCGGTCCATTCTCTCGATTTACAACTGTCCATCCTCCATTTGTTAAAATTGTCCTTAGTGCTTCTGTTGTGACATTATATTTAGTTATAAAGCTTGATAAACGGTCTAGATTTATTTCATAGTATCTGTGTGGAACATTTTCATCATTTGTGTGACTATAAGATAAAAAATTAATATAATAAATTGCTTCGTCCAGTATTTTTTTCTCGTCTGAACGAGTATCATCTCTTATAGGGTAATCATATTTAACCACTGTCTTGAATAAACCATGTCGTCCTTTTAATTCAAAATATTCATCTGATATTAAAACTTCTAGTCCTGATTGGCTTTTTGATAAGATACGGTGAAATACAGCCATTTGTGTTAATGGGCCAAACTGCTTTGTGTCTTCAGGTCCATTACAAATCTCATGGAATGTTACTCTATAATATGGGTATCTCACCACAATATTTTGTGCCCTATTAACAAATTGATGATAAAAATTCATTGAAAAAAATTTTCAAGTTTTATATAACTTACCAATCTTGAAATTGTTCTCTTGTCCATTCAAATTTATGATCTGGATGCCTATAACCTGAAAAATTTGGAAACAATACATTGAATTCCACATTTGGTGTTGTTACTACTACTACTTGTGGCTTGATATATCCAAAAATATTAAAAGGAAGATCCATTAATGTATCCGGATACAAATGTTCAATCCTGAAATAAAAAAGATATTTTCATTAAAATAAAAAATATATAAATACAGTTTTTACAGCAACATTTGTATTATATAACATTACAATTCAATGCAAGTTACTGCATCTACATCTTGTAATTTTTCATCATTGTCTGTCACACTTCCTAGACAAACTTCTATCGCAAACTTATTCCTTCGAGCAGAATCTAAGAATTCAGTAGTCAATGGCGCCGCTCTACCATGGAATCTTTCTAGAATATTATGGTCCACGTCTACACATAGTACCTCTTCCACTCCCGGTATTCTTTTCAAATAAACTAAGAATCCCATTTCTGCGCATCCAAAGTCAACGATCTATGAAAATAATTTAAGGATACAACGATCTTTCACGGGAAATAGATTGGGACATTTCAAAGGCACATTAAGAGACATAAGAAGAAAATATCTCGCAGTAGCCTCTCTACGTCGAAAGTTTATTACAAATGTAAACAAAACATCTTCATTATAACGAGAAATATCCATAGGGTATCGATACCTTCCGCAATTTTCCATTGTATTCGTTGAGCACGTTCGTCACGGCGCAGTATCTTTGTATATACGCCGGCGGGAAGAATCCATGTACTGTCTTATCTTTCCAGAGCAGATCCATCTCTTCCGTGGGTTCGCCATGCAGTTCGTCGGATAGCAAAGAGAATTCCGTCTCACTGTCATAGTGCAAGATTTTCGTCTTTCCACGATACCTTTCGTATATGCGTTTGCCCAACAAGAAGAGGACGTGTAAGAGTATGCCAATCATGTTTGTGAAATTCTTCCTAAACGATTCTCTCTCAAACTGTCTCGCAATAATCTCATACCGTCTCTACGTATCAACTGAAACCTGAAACGGCGGTTTCGGTTTCTCTACCATCCGGACGGCGGATGGAATTCTTGCACATGCGCGGTGAAGCAAATCCTAGCAGACGCTGTTTCAAATTCAGTATATATTTAGTGTACATAGTGTATATTAATGTGTATATTTTTTTTTAATTTGGCAGAAACTAATTAATTAATTGTTGTCGTTAGTGGTTTTCTCGTCAATCTTTAATCCGTATTATAATTTATTATCACGTATGTAATTCGTATATGTTCGTTATGGTATTTAATATATACATTTATGCTGTCAAAATCAGTAATAATAGAAAATACAAATAATCTCAAGGAGAATTCTGATCAGAGTACGAGTCGATTGCATAACTGATTCAAGCCCGGTAAATTTTTTATGCAAAAATACGTATAAATATGTATAAATATATATAATTATATGTATTTTATGTTCTTACATGAAAAATTTTTTACCAGGCGTGCAAACACATATCGTCGATATGGCATAAATTTTGATCTGTGAAATTTAAGATTCAATCATAATAAAGAAAAAAAAAGTCCTATTCTGATTAACTTAATTGGCGATTAATTCAATTGGCAAAACGAAATTTATTATTAGATTTAATTTGCTGCTTTTACAATTTAATTAATTAGAAAAGTAAATTTATTTATAAATTCGTTATTGTAAATTGATTGAAAATGAGTATAAGTGAAATTGTATACTGCAAGATAAAGAAAAAATATAATGTGTTAAAAGTGATTCAAAGTTAAAAGTTGCGATATTTATATATTATATATTATATATTATATATATTATATATTATATTATTATATATTATATATTATATATTATATATTATATATTATATATTATATATAATATATATTATATATTATATTGTATTTAGTTTCACATTTCAGTATTTAATTGAATTTTAATACTTTCATAAAATTAAGATGCCTTTTCATACTGACGCTCATTTTTAGCGTCAAACTAGATCACGTGATCAAAAATGACCATTCAGATCTCACTATTCTGTTTAATTTTGATCACGTGATCTAGTTGACGCTAAAAATGAGCACCGAGCGTCAGCTTAAAAAGGCACCTTTAGTTTGTAATAAAACTGCGATTATTTTCTATATCGAAAATTTCGATACTTCGAGAATCGCAACGTTGAATTTCGATAGATTTCGAATCGCGATCATCGGAACGCGCCATGGCGGATCGTGTTCAAGTTGTTCGAAATATAATAAATTTATAAATGTTTGTCACATCGTAAATTATTATTCGTATTTATTATAATTTATAAAGATTGCAGAACTATAGATCTTTAATGACATTTTATTTATCTACTTTTCCAAAATTTGAATTTTCAATATTTTGTAACATTTAATTGACATACAACGGGAGATAATTGGAGAAAAGGATGGGAATGAGAATAAATATAACGGGAGATAATTGGAGAAAAGGATGGGAATGAGAATAAATATCGCCATCTGACATGTTTTAGCGACATAATTTATTTGGAATTTAATAATAATTAAAATAATTGTGTGACAGGATATCGGTAGCAGTCTACTCATTTTCTAGTAAAGCGACAGCATACACGTTACACGAGTTTACATAAATTAAAATAATTATCGTTTTTTTTTTTTTTTCTGTATTCGAACACCATTGCACGTGTATACTCACATGGTGGTAAAGCCAACGTGACATTTAATTTCACACAGTTTGCCTACGCATCTAGATTTTATTCTTCCGCATCACTCTAAGTAGACTCATCATATTACATTATCTTTCGACATATATACTTTATTTATATATTTATATATCTCCATATTTTTATTTGCATATGCATTTTATAAGCGCGTGCAAATATATTATGCACGAGATCTCTCGATGACTGTTATTCAGTCCACAGGAACATTAAACTCAAAATATAATAATATTACAATTTATTCTTTCAATATAATAGATCTATCTACATAATAGTGTATATATAGAGTATCGTAAAATCCTTAGGTTACGTTCATGTTTCCAATTATTTATACAAAGATACTGCCAAAGGCATTCGCTCGTTTCTTCTTCTCTTTCTTTAATGTTGCAAAAATACGGATTGTCGATAGCTTCATTATACCCGTGTGCTCGAAAGCGCGATAATAAAATTAGTCGAATTACGTTTGCATCATAAGCAATTCGCATCGAAATTGTGTTTTTTCGAGCATTCTTTTCTATTTTATAAGAAGAACAGTAAATATGCGCGTGCGTATAACAATATTATAAACAGTGCAATTAAAAGACCTATGCTTTTTTTTTTTATACAAAACGCTGCCACTCGCGATGTGTATAGTCGCAGTATTAGAGTTTATATTCAATATAAAAGTACACGTAGCTTTCGAACTTTATATATACAATGAAATATATTTAAATTTTATAAAATTTTGGCTTAATGTGTAGAGACACACGACAGATTTTAAGTGCGTTTAAGTTGTAATATTTTTTTATTTTAATTTATCGAAATTTTTTACGATAACACAATACGATCATATGTATATATTCAATGCAATATGCAATTAAGCAATTGCATTTTAACTGCAAATGTAGTTTGCTTTTTGAATCCATTCAAAGCAGTAAATAGAAATTTACATATGTAAATTTATTTATGTAAAGAAGTTTTATTAAAGATGCATAATATTTTGCTTAACATGATCTGATTGATGAGTTTTCTTAACGTTTTAAGATAGAAATTTATTTCAAGAATGCTCTTTGTTTATAAAAAAATAGGCACAAATATAATAATATATATTTAAATAAATTAATAAGAGCATTTCGTATAATACAATGCTCTTCTTTTTAATTGTGTATTTTATATAACGTTTAAAAAAATTTTTTATTTAAAAAACTCTTAAAAATTTATTCTCTACATGCTTGTAATGTTTCTTAAGACAAGCTTGTTTATAATCTTCTTTCGTTAAATCAAAAATTATGATTAAATTTGATTATTTGCATCTCGATCCTGCTTAGAGAAACTTTGTTACAATCTTTAAATAAATTGTTTCAAATACAAAGGAAAGATTTAATTTTAAATATTCTGTAGCAAAACGTGATGTAATACATCTTTATGAACTAAGAGTATAATAATAAATAGCATTTTGATGTAAGCAAGTTTTTACAAAAAATGTGTCATGGCATTCATCAACATGAACTTTTCCATTATTTAAAAATATATATTTTATTATAGGTTTGTAGTTCACCAGTATTTAGGCCGACTAAAATTTTTCTTTTCTACATATTTAAAATGTGGCAACACAATTACAAGTTTGCTATAAACAAAACAAAGAAGCGTCTTAAATATTTTTTTAAAAATTCATATACAGTTCACGGACATATGTTACGTTTCGAATTACCTTAACTCTTAAATACTATGGTAAAGAATTTAGCTATGTTTTAGCTATGTTTTCAATTCTATTAAATTACACATTTTACATTTTACAATAATATCAATCTAATATTAGTTTGGATTTTTTATGACTACTTTTGGTTTTAAAGATTGAAAAAATAATGTAAAAATGTTCCTGATCAATATTTAATGATAAAGTAGTGATATTATAGAATTTATTAAAATAAATATAAAGAAATATAAAAGTTATATATAATATTTGCTATTATGAATTTTTACCATAATACTTAAGAATTAATTATTTCTTTGCCTGATAATAAATTCTTCCTAACTACGCTTTCGTATAGAATAAAATCATATCACAAGTGTCGAATCATTTGTCTTTGACCTAGGGATATAATTATCATGAAGAAATACTACAGTAAATATCACATAGAGCAATGATATTTCAATTAAATACCGTAATGACTTTACTAAAGATTAAAGTCCATTCCTTAATCTTACAAGTAAAATTATAGTTTCAGACGTTATATATTGACAATGATCATTACAAAATGATCATTCACAAAATAATAATTTATACTTTCATATACGGGGATATAATAAGCTCAGGCATATGACTGATCCAACGATATAGCTATTTTATTCCCTTTCTCAACCCAATTTCTAAGACGTCCTCTGAGTTCCTCGAGACTTTTCGACTTTGCCTTATTTATCCTCTTGTACTTCACATCTTTTGGCTTCGTCACTGATCTGTGGTTGCTCATTACCCTATTGTACGTCACCTGAAAGCACCAAAAGATTTCTTATGAAATATTCCATCTATTATATTATTAAACACGAGCTTTAAAGCTAAACGAAAGGAAAATCCTCGAAAACGAAGAAAAGACAACGAAATATATCTTAAGTCAAAAATCTATATCTAAAGTAAACTTTGCGTTATGTTTTTTTTAGAATATCTCAATTCAAGTATTTCAGAGATTTTTTTTCTGATAAATCAATTTCTCACACATGCCAATAAGATTTCAAGTCGCCCCCCCCATTACCTGTGCCTGCTGACTTTCATCTCTGGGTCTTTCGCTGGGGGGGGAGTCCGTGTCTTGAGCCAGCCTCTCGAAACTGCCATAGAGATCCTGTAGTCTGCCTTTTCCGTTGCCCAAGTTTTTCGCTCTTCTATCCTCGTACTCCGAGTTCTCCGTCGACTCCGATGGATCCTGATTATTCTCGCTGTCACCGTCTTCCTCTACGGAATATACGGTTTCCAGGATCTCCGGTCTTCTGAGAAAACCGTTGCACCGTCGCATCGACGAATACTTGCTCGACGGTTCCACCGCGTCGGACACGGAACGGATCACAGTTACATCAGTGATGTTAGAACGAAACCTGCGGGATGCAATTAGGATCCTGATATGGAACCGAATGTAAACAATCGCAATCGAATAAATTTGAGAAAATAATAATCCATTTTTAACTTTATGTATTTTCCAGTGTCTACATGTGTCTATATGTGGCTTGCAACGTGTATTTTATACATTAAGATATGTACTTTCGTCAAATCATATATTCTGTGTTATATGAAATAATATTCCATTTTAAATCATCTCAGCGTGAATAATAATTATTGCAATTTTTACCGTGGCATAATTTTTAACATTATTATATTCGAATATGAGCAAACTGGACTGGATCACAATCGTGCATCGAGAACAATTAGATTTTTCGAAAAAGAAAAATTAAGATTACACTTTTCCAAATTATCTTATTATATATAAAAATAGATAATATAATATATTATGTACGAATAATAAATATAATATTATATAAATTATATAAAAATTTTTTATTTTACAAGTAGTAACAATATTATATAGGACGATATACTCTGACGATATACAATCAATAATAATTAAAACGGGAACTCGAGCCAAGCGGTTGTCATCGCTTAATATTTATTTTATTTTAAATCTCTTCATTATTTTATTTTAAATATTAATTTTTATTTTATTTTAAATCCTTTCATTATTACTTAATTTTTTTATTGCAAAAGCGCTTCGTAGCCGTCTCTTCTCGACTCGTAGAAACATAGATAATGGGAATCCATTTTCAGAAATGCTCACCTCGGCGGAGCAGGATCGTCCGCGGTCTCCTCGAGCACCACGGCACTGTCGCTGTCCCCGAGACTATCCAATCTGTCCAGGGCGTCGCAAGGTGGCGAGTCCCTGGTACTTGTGCTCCTCTCCGCCAATCTGCTCTGCAATTGCCGGATCACCCTTTGTTGTCGTAGAATAATGGACTCTCGCTGACTCAGACTCGCCTCGATTTCCTTCTGCTTCCTGCAGAGCCTGGACTCGAACAGCAGAAGCTGCGACGACAACGTCCGCAGTTGCTCGGCCTTCTCCCGGGTAAGTCGGGCCACCAGGTCCTCCTGCGCGAAAAACATCGAACGGTAACAAAAATCGAATACGGTTGATATCAATTTCCCACATTGATGCGGGAGTGGAAATAAATAAATTGCGGCTCTTCATTCGCACGGTAATTAATAACGGCCGCGGTGCGACTGCCGCGATTCGCCATTTACTTTAGATATTAAGTATATCAATTAGCGAGCGATCTCTCGCTCGCCCGTTATTATTAATATTTGCCTAGCGCCGCTAATTAATTTCTCCCCCGTTTCGAACGGACAACGTCGCTAGGGCGATATTAGATTTTTACTTTTTTGTTTTTCTTTCTTTCTTTTTTTTTTTTTTATCAAACACCAGTTTATGTACAATTTGCGCAAACATCTGTCGAGTCCACTCGAGAGCAAAGTGCGTTACTGCTGTATGCGTGTTTTCGCCTCCGCACGCGTCGATATGCGTGCGAAGTTGCGTGTTTGCGCAACGACGTACGCGTCTCTTCCTTCCGTCCTTCCTTCCGAGAAAGGGATGAGTGTATTACTCTCTGTCTCCCCCTCCCCCTTTTTCTCTCTCTCTCTATTGTGCGCAACGTAAATGACACCGTAAGACGGCCAGGTGCTACCGCTATTGCGTGTTACGCACTTCGAAAACTGACGCGGAAAATAATTGAACCATTTCGTCAATAGAGACGATGTGAATGACCCTCGGTTAATAACGTCAAAGCACAGATTCTGCATTAAAGAAAATGGAAGCTAGACATTTGTGTGAAAGAATGCAAAAGAAGTATTCTTGATTGTTTGTTTATCTCTATGGTAATATTAATTTATCCTGTCAATCCAACGATTGATTTTTATCTAATTAAAAAAACTTTTATTTGATTAAACAGAGGAAATTTCTGAAGAGAAATGCTGTCGTAAAAAATTTTTAAGTATACAATAATAAAAGCTCTTAATTATTATCATGTAAAATTATTCAAAGTTAGAGAAAAAAATTTTTAATTATCGCTTTACTTTATAACACTTCAGAATAATTGAAAGTTAATGTGTCCATAATTTTAAAAAATAAAAATATCTTTTCTCATAATTGTAGACAAAAGGAGACAAGAAAGTTTCGTTTTTTTACATCTGATAATAAATATACAATACACTAAACTTAAAAAAGTATAGAATTTGCAGAATATAATAGATTTTTTTCTCTTTTTCGATTCTCTTTCTTTCTTTTTTACTGATTGTTATATTAAAGAGAAATAATTTTTTATAAAAGAAGGATAAATAAGAAAAGTACGGAAAATAGACAGGATAATTATCGGAAATGGGAAAGCATTTCATTCGAAACTGCGTCCTTTTAAACTCAGATTCCGTAACATGTCTGCGCCGTATTCGTGTGCCGTATACATTACGGAAAAAAAATCGCCTTTTTACCGCCGAAATGAATCATACATCGGAACGTATTAATATTTGCCCGTTTGCATTCGACAAAAGTACACGAGAAAAGTCGTTACTCGCAATCTGCATCAGTCACGCCGTCTGTATTTTTCCCGACGGTGGCTAGCGGAGATAGCCGGAGAAAGAGGATCATTTCGTAGCAATTATTCCCTCGTTAGATTACCGGCAAATTTAGTGGGAGAGTCCTCTTTTTTCTCGCGGGTCTACCTCGCAAATCGAGAATCGTTTGTAGTCACGCGAAGTCAGACGCGAAATCGTACGATGTCACGAGACGCTCGCGGCTTGTCCCGGAAATGCACGAAAATCTCTTTATGGCAATGACTCGTGGCAGCAATGCCATTTCGCTCATCCGTTCGAGTTTGTCTTTTTCCATTGGCATCGTGACGAGGGTTAACGGATACAGTGAATGCCTAAGGCTAAAAAGTATATTCCGCGGGTTTCCGAAGAAAAAGTTCAGTTTTTCTATTTCTCTCTCTCTCTCTC